CATAATTACTCAAACACTCTTCACAAAATTTTACACCCGGTTTTGCCCTTATTTCCTTTGATAACAAAAAACGTATTTACGAAACTATCATTAATGAGTTTCCCGCCAAAAACAAATAAGTCTACCGCTCACGTGATAGTAGATTTATTTAGTGGTTGGTAGATTTGTTTTTGAATGGTAGACTTATTGTTGAGTGGTAAATTTATTTCGATAGACTTATTTTTATGTAGTGATAGATTTATTTATATGTGATGGTAGATTAATTACTCGTAGTAGATTTAATTGACATCATGGTAGATTTAATTCGGATATAAATAAGTCTACCATCACGACGATCAATAAGTCTATGATCGTCGTGATGGTAGACTTATTTATAGTGNCGGTAGATTTATATGATGTGGTAGACTTATTACTCTCCTTGGTAGATTTATATTTGTTGATCGGTAGACTTATNGATTGTTAGNNATGGTAGACTTATTTATAGTGGCGGTAGATTAATATTATGTGGTAGACTTGTTACTTTCCCTGGTAGATTTATTCAATGTTCGCAGATCTTTACTACAACAAATCTACCAATCTTTGGTAAATCTACCATAATGATGATAGACTTGTTTGGCTATATTGAGTTACGATAGACTTGTTTCTTAATATTGAATGACGATAGACTTGTTTAGATTCGGATAAACGTAATGGTAGATTTAAAAAATAAGCGGTATGATAGACTTGTTGTGGTAGGTGGTAGACTTACTTGTAGTAGTGGTAGATTTACAATATGTGGTAAACTTATTTGTAGTAGTGGTAGATTTATAATCTGTGGTAGACTTATTTTATAGTAGTGGTAGACTTATTCAAAAAGGGTAAAATCGTAATTTACCGTTCATTTTCTCTACAAACCCAAAAGCTGTCAAACGACAACAATGGCGGCCAACCTGTATTTAGCTCGTTTTTACTGTATTTTAACTTATTTTCAACTGGATTTAACCTAAAACTAATAGATCTAACATCATATATCTCTTTTCTAACCAAAAATCAAAAGATTTCAAATTTTTTTTTTTTGTTGCTAGTGATTTTCAATTCGATTTTATCTAAATCCGGCGGCACACCTCTGCCGAGCGTGTCTCCAGTGCTTCCGCGGCCGCGGTTTCAAAAAAATTTTCGATAGACTTATTTGTAGTTCTGGTAGACGTATTTGTAGTTGTGGTAGA